CCATTCCTTTCAATTTCTTTGGCTATAATGCAGACATTGAAAAGAGTGGGTGGCTTAAATGTATCCATGCGAACTATTGATTATTGCAGGAGCAATGTAAGACACTTATATGAACAGGAGAATCAAGCTAAAAAAAAAAGAAAAGAAACATGTATGACCAGGGGCCAGCAGGTGGCGTGGTGGTTAAAGGTGCTGGACTCTCACATGGCTGACTGCTGGACCTGGTGGCTTACTTTCTCACTTTCTCTTTCTCTCTTCCTCTCTCTGATCAAACTGGAAAATAATAATAATAAAGTTAAATTTTAAAAAATTCAAAAAACGTGTATGACCATTTGTATGCATTTACATAAAAGTCTGTGTACATGTAAATATGCATTCCACGTAGAAGAGATTAAAGGACAGGCTGGTGGCATGGTGGTTAAGGTGACTGGATCCCCCATAGTCAACTGTGTGGTTCACGTCTCAGACCTGGCAGCTTGGAAAAACACTCTGGGAGCATGTGTGTGTGTGCCCACAATCCCAAAAGGAGAATATATGAGAAGCGATGGAGACACGGCCATCCCCCTGGGGGAAGGGTGATCTCTTACTTTTCCTTCACTCTCTTTAGTGAGCACACACGTCCAATAGCGAACTTAAAAATTAGAAGAGAAAACAATTTATCAGGCAAGTACAAAGGAGAGATGAATGACTTGTAGTCCTGACATTCTGTGATTTTAATGTTTTGAAGTATTTTCTTCAAGTATTTTTCTATCTATTGAAATGTTTAAATACGTATAGACAAAATTGGTACCATATTGTATGTATTTTTTTTAGTTGTCTTTTTATTCTAAAATTTTTATTTTTTTAAGAATTATTTTACTTAACTTTATTTCTTTAAATTTGACCAGAGAGGGACAGAGTGGGAGAGAGAGGGAAAGTGAGAAAGCAGGCTGCCAGGTCCAGGACAAGTGGGAGTCCAGCCCCCCCAACCCCCATGCCACCTGCCATCCTCTTATAGTTTTTTTTTTTAATTATTTATTTAATTTTATTTATTCATTCATTTATTTTAATTTGATCAGAGAGAGACAGGGAGAGAGAGAGAGAGACAGAGAGAGAAAGTGAGAAAGCAAGCCAACAGGTTCGGGACTCAAACCATGGTCAGCCATGTGGGAGTGTCCAGTGCCTTAGCCACCATGCCATCTGCTGGACCCTATAGTTGTCTTTTAAAAGATTTACCAGGGCCAGCAGGTGGTATGGTGGTTAAGGGCACTGGACTCCCAAATGGCCAATGGTGATTTGAATCCTGGACCTAGCAGCTTACTTGCTCGCTCACTCTCTCTCTCTCTCGCTCTCACTCTTTTTTTTTTTTTCCCTTTCTGGTCAAATTAAAAATAAATAAATAAAGTGAAATAAAAGAATTATTTAAAAAATGACTATTGTATGATCAATATTTTCCCACTTCATTACATTTTATCCAAAGAATGACTTTTTACTTTCTAGCCACTATTCCTCCAAATGGTTGTCTCATATCTCACCATTCTCCTGTTGGACACTTGGATATGTATGTATTAGGTATATGTATTTATTGATTGAAATAATCTCAGCTCTGTGACCATGGATCACTTTTTAAAAAAAGCATTATTTATTTTATTTTATTTATTTCTTATTTTTAAATTTATTTTTTAGAGACATTTTTGCTATAGGGCATGTGCACTCACAAGAAAGAGAGACATAGAGCAAGAAATCACCCCCCCAGCAGGGATGGCCATACTGCCACCCCTTCTCCTCCATTTTCCTCTCAGGATTTTGGGCATGCACACACATGTGCCTGGTGTATTTCAAGTCTCAGTGTCCAGGACTCGAACCGCAGTTGGCCATGTGGAAGTCTAGTGAAGTAACCACTATGCCATCTGCTGATCCCTTTGTTATTATTTTTAATTTGACCAGAACCTCTCCAAAAAAAGAAAATTGACTAGAGAGAGATGAGAGAGAGAGAGAGAGAGAGAAAGAGAGAGAGCAAGCCACTGGGTCCAGGACTTGAACTGTGGTCAGTCATGTGGGAGTCTAGCACCTTAACCACCATACCACCTGCTGGCTCTATTGTCCACTTATTTTATCTTTTTGTTCCTCAGATTTCTCATCTGTAAAATGAAGACAGTAATAATACAGGGTAGCTATAAGAAGTAAATGACTTAAAATATAATGTTTAGCAACCTAAACACATTTAGCACTGAGCCTAATCTGTGCTTAAGAAAATATCATCGGGGCATTTCTTTTTCTTTCTTTCCTCTTTCTTTTATCTTTTCCATTCTCCTCCTCCTCCTCCTTCTTCTTCTTTAATTGCTGGAGGATGACAGAGGGAGAGAGAGATAGAAAGCACTCCCCAATGAGGTGTGGCCTTGTTGCAATCAATGATCAATACTTGTTTATAACTGAGCCTAGAGTATAATAAGTAGTCAATAATTGCTCAATCTTAGGGTGTTCTTTTTTTTTTTAAATTTCGCTATAGGGCATATGCACTCACTAGAGAGAAAGAGAGAGAGAGAGAGAGGGAAAGTGAGAAAACACCTCTTGGGGGTATAGCTACACCAAAATCCCTTCCCCTCCAGTGTCCTCTTGGGATTTTGGGCACTCACACTTATAAACCCAGCTTGATTTTTAAGCCACCGGGTTCAGGACTCAAATTGCAGAGTCATCCATGTGGGATCCATTGCCTTAACCTCCACACTACCTGCTAGCCTACAGAGTTCTCTTTAGCAGTACATGGGAAGTTTTTTCTCTTCTAAATAGAAGAGAATGAAGTCTACCTCCATCACTGTCATGAATATTAACAATGTACAATATTTCAGGTGCTTGACGTGTGCCTGCCACACAGCAGACCGCGGTCCCTGCAGGTCTCCAGTTCTTTCTGGGTCCCTGCAGGTCTCCAGTTCTTTCTGGGTCCCTGCAGGTCTCCAGTCTCTCAAATGCTCTTCTATGCATGAACAGCACCCAGCATGTAGCACCATTAAAGGACATAGCTCTGTATTGTGAAGGCTTATTTCTCTGTTTCATCTTCACTGAGACATGACTCCTTTATTTGTCTCTCCCCAGCACTCAGCACAATGTTCCACATGTTGTGGACACCCAGTAAATGTTTGGCAAAGGGATAATAGTGAGGAGGAAGACCTAAGAGGAAAGTCATTTGAGCAAAGTAAGGCACTATGTGAGCAGAGAACCAAGCCAAAAAGAAAATAAAGCCTATGACCTCTTGTTGTGCAATTACATAAAAGCCAGAGGAGAAAAAAGACAAAAGAAAAACAGTCGAGGAGAATGGAATTTAATTGTTAGAGAAATAGAGACGAAACTAAGGAAGGCAATGAGAAGATAATGCAGGCAGTGAAACGTGAGCATCTCCGTTGGGTGAACTGGGGCTTATCACTGGGAGGGAAACAATGAGTAGATTCCAACCCTGATCTGTAGGGTACAGGGTTGGCCTTCTCTATAATCAATAGCTCTTTGAGTCTCTGCTCTTTGGTAGGCACCACACTAAGTTCTGATATAGAGTGCCTCATTTAATCATCACAAGTACCTTGCATTAGGTAAATAATGTTAATTCTTCCATGGGGAAACAATCTCCCCAGAGCTATTTTCAGGGTGGGAGAACTGGACTTTCGTAAGGTTAAGTGATTTGCCCAATGTCCATTGGCCAGCGTGGGAGGGAGATGATTCAGGGACTGTCCATTCTCAAGCCTGAACACTCATCATTGTATCTCCTTCATCCTTATGGAGCTTGGACCAGGACTGGCTTCCATGTTTGTCAAATAAGGTCAAGTGTATCCTGTCAGTCATCGTGGTGAATTGCATAGCCGGCCTGGCTCTCGATATTTTCTCCTGTGATAGTCTGACAGACTGTTATTGGCATTGTTACAACGCTATCTGGTGATCTGTAAAGAGACCTAGTACTACAGGAGGAAACCAAGTCAAGAGGGTCAGAATGTCCTTTGGGAGACAGCAGAACGAGCCTGGTTTCTGTGTTCCAAGCTCAAAGTACGCAGTGGTCATGCCCTTTTCATCCGCAGTCATCAGGCTAGATTGTCTAGAGAGTCACATCTGTCCTCCCATAGCTTCTGCGTCATCAGTGAACAGAAAATTGAGTAGACACAAGAGGTGGTATTTTTACAAGAAATGGTAGAAGGGTAGCACAATGCTGGTTAGATACGTGGGGGGGGGCATTAACAAGGTAAATGGCAAAACTAAAACCTGCGTTTTTAATTTAATTTTATTGTTACTATTTTAAAATTTGTTATAGGGCACCTGTGCTCACCAGAGAGATAGAGAGCGAGGAAAATTGAGAAAGAAAATCACCAGTCCTGGACTTGAACCATGGTCAGCCACGTGGGCATCCACGGCCTTCACCACTACGCTGCCTGCCAGTTCCTGGACTACATTATGTTTAAATGAAGGTCACAGCTTTGTATTCAACATAGCACTAAATCACCAAATATTTTTCATATAAAGTTTGTTGAGGAATATTAAAAATTAGCTTTGGGACCAGTGGGTGGCATGATGGTTAAGAACTGGACTCACACATGGCTCATCGCAGTCCGAGTCCTAGACCTGGAGGCTTGAAAATTATACTGAATCCATCATTGGGCAGCTCACGTTCTCTCTGCCTTTCCTCTTCTCCTCTCTATCGCTCTCTGTCTAAGCATATCTTTAGGTCATTCTTCTCTTGAAGACATTGCTTCTCCCTTGGCTTAGTTGATATGCGTGAACTTAGGCAGTCTGTGAAAACTAGCTGGCCATCAGGATGTTACCAACACAGGACTCCTTATGACACTGCTGACATTTTAAAAGCCTTAGCCAGAGTAACAAAAACAAGACATTTAGAGTAACAGTAATAACTAATACAACAGTATTAACTAATACAACCATAACTTGGTGTTTTTCCTTCTATGAGTCATTGTTTTTGAAATGCTAAAAGTGGGTTCCAACTGTGGTTTGTCCTGGTGGGAAGAGCTGTGGGCATACAGGACGATCTATTGATTTACCTTCTCAAAGTACTCTTTGGAAGCGGTCAGACTTGGCTGAATTGTGGGAGAATCTGGTGTCCAATTTACTGGGCGGACTTCTCCATGGCTTTCCACAAACTGGAATGCCTTTGCCAAGCAGAGGGTCTCTTCCATGCTGCGGCCCACTGGAAGATCATTGACACTCAGGTGCTTGATGACTCCACTGGGGTCAATTATGAAGAGACTTCTTAGTGCAAGACCAGGACTTTCTTTTTTTTTTTTTTTAAAAATTATTTTATATTTAATTTTACTTATTCATTCATTTATTTTAATTTGACCAGAGAGAGGCATACACACACACATACACACACACACACACATACAGAGAGAGAGAGAGAGAGAGAGAGAGAGAGAGCAAGAAAGCAAACCACCAGGTTCAGGACTTGAACCGTGGTAGGCCATGTGGGACTGTCCAGTGCCCTAACCACCACAGCACTTACTGGTCCCAAGACCAGGACTTTCTAACAGCACACCATAGTCTCGAGAAATTTGTTTAGTTAAATCTGACAAGAGTGCGATGTTCATGTGGCCCAAATCGCCATTCTTCCTTGGTGGATTTGTCCAGGCAAGCTGGCCACAGTGGGAGGCCACTGAAACTGCAACAACTTCACAGTTCACGTCATGAGATGCATCTGCTTTGTCACTAAAGGCAATCATTTCTGTAGGACACACAAACGTGAAACCCACAGGATAGAAGAAAAACCCCAAATATTTCCCCTTAAAGTCATCAAGGCTTAGGTCTTTGAACTTTCCTTTAACAATGGTTGTATCCTTAAAATAGGGTGCATGCTGGGTGACAGCAGGAGCCTGGTAGGAGGAACCGGTGCTAAAGGCAAACTTCACTTGTCCAGAACCAGACCATGATAGGTTTGTCAGGCACGTTCTTCCAGAAGCAGCAAGTCTAAGGGCTGCAGAGGCAGAAATGCCCCAAGGAATTGTGCTCACAGGTCGGGCGGAGGCCTGGAGCAACCTTCCCTCAGCCACAGCCATCTTCAGTGTACAGAAGCTATGAGGCGGGTGGATCAAAACGGGTTTTATTCTAAGAAAACCTATTTCAAGGCATTCATGCATGATTTGTAAGTAAGGTAATGAAATAAAAATATATAAAAACACACACAATCCTTTGACCACTAGTTTTCTAACTAGTTTTATTTTTAATGAGTGTTAACAATAAGTAAGTTGTTCGAAGTTTAGATAACACTTTGGTTAATATCTCTGATAAATATAGAGCTAGAAATCATATCCTGTGAGGGGACCAGCAGGTGGCATGGTGGTTGAGGTGCTGGACACTCCCACATGGCTGACCACAGTTCAAATCCCGGACCTGGCGGCTTGCTTTCTCACTTTCTTCTCTCTCTCCATGTGTGTCTCTCTCTAGTTCTCTAGTCAAATTAAAATAAATGAATGAATAAATAAAATTAAATTTAAAAAAAGAAAGAAATCATATCCTGTGAGTATGTGTGTGTTTGTGTGTGTGTGTGTGTGTGTGTGTGTGTGTGTGTGTGTGATGGGGGGCAGTTAAAGGCGTAGAGTGCTGGGATCTGGCATGCAGGCTCCAGCTGATTTAAGCACAGCTCTGCTGAGTGACCTTGGGCAGGTGACTTAACTCTTCTGTGTCTCAATTTCTTCATCTGTAAAATAAAGGATAGTGATTTTTTTACCCATGTTCTAGGGATTTGGGGAGGAATAAATGAATTATTTACACTGAAAGCCTGGTACAGAGTAACAATAGACCCTTACTTTGCTTTATTGTTTGCATACATTGCTTCTCTCTTTTTTTTTAAGGATTTTTTTTATTAAACTTAGAAAACTTAAATATTGGTTGAATTGATTACTGCTAATAATTTACTGATTTTTCAAGTTTTTAAAATTTATTTTATTCATGATAGCATGAATGAGAGAGAGAGAGAGAGAGAGAGAGAGAGAGAGAAAAGCATCCTTGATAGGTTCTTATTGTTCCTGATCCCTTTCCCCAGCCCTGAGTTCATCAGGATCTCGGGCCGTGGGAATGCACTCAGCATGCTTTCAAGCCCACAGTCAGCCATGTGGCTTCCAGCACTGCAGTTCCACTGGCTACCAACTTCAGCACCAGGCTGGACCCATTTATTTATTTTAAACCTGCATAAGTTATTAGGCAAACAACTTCCTAATATTTGGCTGGCAAGAATAGCAACCTCTACCACTTGGCAAAGATTGCTTTGCTATCCTTCTTTTGATACCAAGTTGATTCTGCATGAAATGAAATAGGAAGAATGGTCTGGGGAGTGGGGGTAATGCATTCCAAGGTTTTGGTGGGGCAGGGGTCGGTGTCTCTGACTTTACTGACCTGGCCTCAACTTGGGAGAACTAGGTGAGGTTGGCCAAGCACGGACGACATCTGCGTGTAGCTGGGCTATGCAGAGGTTGCTCTATTTGCTGGGGATCCTTCCCAAGACCCCCAGTGGGTATCTGAAATTGTGGATGCCCTGTATCTTATATGTCACATGTTTCTCCTATACACACCCACCTATGATAAAGTTCAGTTTATAAATTAGGTACAGTAAGAGATTAATGATAATAATAAGGGCCAGCCCTGTAGCGTAGTGGTTAAGCACTATGCGTAAAGAATCGTTCCCCTCCGTGGCCAACAAAATTCAAATCTTGGCTCTGGCAACTTAAAAATCATACCAGGGGGTGCTGGCAGATGGCATGGTGGTCATGGGCGCTGGACTCCCACATGGCTGACTGCGGTTTGAGTCCCAGACCTGGTGGCTTGCATTCTCACTTTCTCTCTCTCCCCCTCTCTGGTCAAATTACAATAAATAAATAAATAAAGCTAAATAAAATAATTCTTTAAAAAAAAAATCACACCACGTATGTGTGCATGTGTGCCCAGGATTCTGATGGGGATGGAGAAATGGAGGAAAGGGGACTGTGGAGAGCTCTCTCTCACACACATGTGCCCTCTGGAAATCAAGAGATAAAATGAAAAACAGTAACTATAACAATATACTATAATAAAAGTTAGTGCACTTTCTCTCTTTCTCAAAGTATCTTATTGTACTATACTCACCTACTTTGGACCATGGATGACCATAGATAACTGAAACCACAGAAAGTGAAATTGTGGGTAGGTAGGAAGTAGAGGGAGGGACAGTACATCTATTTCTTATGTACAATGTTGCTGTTTTATTTTCTATAGAAAATACTTCCCCAGGCCAGTCCAATGACCTGGTAGATAAGGTGACCAAATCCCCCATGGCTGTCCAGGCAGTTCAAGAGACATGCTGGGCATGTGTGCGTGTGTGCCCAAAATCCCAAAAGGAGGGAGAGATGGAGGAGAGGAGATGGTGGCATGATTGTTCTCTACAGAAGGTGCTTTCTCCTCTCTTTCTCTGGAGAGCTCACACACCATCTTGCCACAAATAAACAAATAAACAAACAAATAAATAAATAAACCCTTCCATTAATTATTTGACTCCTGAAGGAGGTAGTGTGTGGGATACACCTGAGTTTAGAAGTGGCGGCCAAAAGGCAAAACATCTTTGGGAGATGCTTGTGTGTGTGAAATGACTTAGAGAATGAAAACTTTTTTCTTGAAGAACGGGTTTCAAAGCAATGTAATAACAAATAAGGTATTCCTGGTTTCATTTTTTTTGACGTCAGTCAAAACATTGCCAAAAGCTGGCCTAATTTCAGGATCCACAACACTTTGTACTTCATCCTAAGACTTCCTGGATGGCTGTCATTGTTCTAGAAGGTGGTTGCATAATTTTGAGTTGCTACAATGATCTGCCTTAGTCCTAGAGTCACCAGGAGGTACAAAAGACCTATTGGGTTGACAACTTTTGAAGTTTTATGGGAATTGCTCTTACGTTAACACTTTCTAAATATTTTGTCAGATAATATCAAATCTGCTTCAAATGAAGCTTCTTAAAGAAATGGTTGTCAAAGTTATTTCTGAACCATGTTCTAAAACCCTAAGACTTTACTTGAATTTATAAATTAGAAAACAAATTTTATTTGTTATGTCCAGAGACTAAACCATAGAATTTCAAGAGCTTAAACTTGAATTCTTGGGACCAGCAGTTAGCGTAATGGCTATGTCGCTGGAATCCCACGTAGTCAACCACGGTTCGAGTCCCAGACCCGGTGGCTTAAACTCATGCTGGGCGTGTGTGCATGCGTGCCCAAGATCCCAAGAGGAGAATGTAGGAGAAGGGATTGCGGCGTGACCATCCCCACTGGGGGGTGTTTTCTCGCTTTCTATCTCTCTGTCTCTCTCTGTCTGGCGAGCGAATGTGCCCTATAGCAAAAACCTCTCAAAAAAAGAAAAAAGAAAAAAAACCTTGAATTCTTTAAGTGATGCTATTTTTTTTCTTTATTCAACTTTAGTTGCCTCATCTGTAAGTGATGATAATTATTTGATCATCAGGAAAGTCATGACTCATTTTTGCATAGAATACAGAAAAATATGTCTTGACTTTCCTGATGACATAATATAAAAACTGATCTCAATTAGGTATCTGTCTAATCAGATCTCTGAAAGAGATGATAGACAAAAATGGTTCCCACGCCCTTCATAAAATATTTAATTGCCTTTCTACATACA